GTACGTGCTATACAATCCATGTCATGGATTCAGCTGATATTATGACCATATTTGCATCAACACGAGGTAACACAGCTGGTTGTGATGAAAAAAAAGGAAGCTATTTGATACAAACATTTTTGAAAGTTTTGATAAAAACTACTAAGGATAAGAATCTAACAGACATAATGAAGAAAGTTCAAAGGAAAATCAATAGAACACAAACTCCAGAATCTAACTTCACTTTTTCCAGAAGTTATTATATTAAAAGGTTTGTTTATATATTTATTTTCGTTATTATTACTGAATTTTTTAAACAGTGACACAGAATTAAATGCATTACTTGAGCTAGAAAAAGAGCTTCAGGAAGTAGTTAAAGGATGGCTACGTCTTCGCGAGCAGACAATAAAACAAATCAGAGAACTAGCAGAAATGTTGCAGGAGCATCATCGTATCATCAACAAATTCCAAATTATTGGATTTGTTATATGCAGCATTGGCGTTTTCTTCATTCTCATTGGTTCTGCAATAGATTTTGGAATAACACCCTTCACATTTGGGATAAATGTAGCTTGTATAGGAATAGCTATTACAGTAGGGGTACCATTTTTTTATAGCTATGTTATTGAGAATATGAAAATAGAAAAAGCTCAGAAAAAATACAGTGAAGATCATCGTCAATTAAAGAATTTGCAAGAAACAATTAAAAAGATGGAGAACATTGTAGAAAATGTCTATAAAAGTAACACCCAAATCTGGCAAATTAAACAGAATGCAGATAACTTTGTTTCTACCATGAAACTACTTTATCCAAATTCTACCAAAGGTAGTCTTTGTAGGATAATAACTCAATTAGCTATGGCTGAAAGTCTGGAGGTTGGTACTTCAGCATTAAGGAATGGAGGCCTGAAAGCTGCATTGGCATTAGGTAAAATAGTAATATTATTACCAATCAGTTTAATACAAAGCAGTTCTAACTCAATAAGTGTATCTATGACTATCACAATAAACAAGTTACAAGAACTCGCCTCTGAGCTAGAGGATCAGATGGGAAAAGTTGAGCGGAATATCAAGAAAAAATAGCTACAAAACTTCAATTTATTTTTGGAATTGACAATAATGATTAGTCTGTAATGATTTCTAGTGTCATTTAGTTATGTTTGTAGTTTTTTGACATTCACTATCAGCTGTTTATATTAAAATAATTACAAATGTTAATCATTGAATAATACAACGGCATTGAGTTTTATTTGCATAAAAAATAATTTATAAATAAGTTAGAGAGAGAAAAAAGAAGAAACGAAAAAGAGGAAGCAAAGGATGTTACGTATCGTGAAAAAGCAAAATTAGAAAGGAAATATTACTTCAAAAATATCACTACATGCATTATGACTATGTATATCCTTTGTGAGAAATGGAATTTTAGGGCAAAATAAACTTAGTGTAGCAGTAGATACTATC